TGCTCGGCGGCGAGCCTGGGCGGGAAGTGAGAAGGGGCGGGCCTTCCCACGAGGCCCAGAAGGCCCCCGGGCCTTCCGGGGAGTTTCCTGAGCCTTCCCCGAAGACAGAACGCTTCTCAGAAGGTGCCGCAGTCAACCCGCATAGTAAAGAAGGGCAACCTTCCCATGGCTACCCTTGCATCCTTGACTCCTCGGTCCATCCTTGGTCACGTTCGTTAGCCGCGCCCCGCTCAACAGGCTTCGAAGAGGACTTCCACGGCCCGTGCACCCTTGTCGTGCGTCCTTCTCAGACGGGTGTTGACCGTAGGGCTTCTGAGACGTCCCGCCGCCGTCTGAGAAGGCCTTCTCCTTCTCGCCCTCGCCGCCGACGTGCGGCCGCGCGCGCGCCCGGCTCCTTGCGGCCCGGGCAGCCGAGGGCGCGGGGGGCGGGGCTCCTGCGGCGGGCGCCGCCGTAGCTTCCCGGTCGCCCTCGGGGCCCCCCTGCCCATCGTCCTCGGCGTGTGCCCCGGCGCGTGCCCTTTGCGCCACTCCCTCCCTCCCCCCCCCCAAAAAAAAACGCCCACCAAAGAAAGATTATTCCACGTCGTCGCTTGCGAAAGTCTTGACCCGTCTCCTTCCAACAGGAGTGGTCTCAGGCGGGAGCGCCACTGCGAATTGGGACAAGTCTTGCGCGGGAGCGTTATTGCGAATCCGAGCCGAAGAAGTGCCAACCTCTATTCTCGAGGACCTCTTGGGCAGGAGCGCCATTTCGAGATCGAACCAGAAGGGTGTCGAATTCGAGTTTTCCGGAAGTCCTGGGCGGGAGGTCCATCTCGAAATCGAACCCGAGAGGCTCCGAATTTTGTTTCGGAGTTATTCCCAGACGGGAGCGCCATCTCAAAATCGAACCCGAAAGGCTCCGAATTCTAGTTTGGAGGAAATATTGTGCGGGAGCGCCATTTGGAAATCGAACCCGAAGTTTCGAAACCGTTCGACGTTGTTTATGAGGATGTCTCCAGCGAAACCGTCGCTTCGAATTGGCCACACAATTTAGCATTCAACTGTTCGAATTTATGATCAGAATTTTCGAAAGTGCGGTTTTCGCTTGAGCATTCCTCCAAGAAACGAGCTCGACTGGATTCGAAACCATTGTGTTCGAATTCGAAAGGGCTGTTCCGCCCGAGACTTGACCGAAACAATGCTTGAGCAGAACATTGTACTGGGGCCCCGTGTCCTCTCTTTTCGCGTGCGCAACGCCACTGACAACGTTGTGCCGGGGCCCCGTCGCCTGACGGGAGGCGCTGCACTTTGACCGAACTTTCGTAGCGGCGAAGTAAGCGCCTATTTGTGGTTTACACGACATGGTCATATAACATTTTTGGCTGAAGCTGTCTTGTCTTAATCCATCGGTTCTATGCTTCACGAAGGTGGTTTTTGTGTTTCGAATCTTGTATGGTTCTAAGAACATGTCGTGGTAGGCTTGTCAGAATGCCGGGACGGTCGGTCCTTGCTCAAACAACTCGGACAAGTTGACATCACCACGGTCGTCAGGGCCCTCGCGTTGTGAACACCAGGAAGGGACATTTCCCATGGATTTTTGGCGGACCCACCCCGGTGCTTCGAACGCTCAATCTCACCGACCTCGTTCAGGTATTTCCAGCTCGTCGACCCCTTGCCATGCCGCGGTCGCGCGTCACGTCGTCGTCGTCGTCCTCGTCGTCGTCGTCGTCGTCGTCGTCGTCGTCGTCGTTGTGATGGTCATGGTCGTCGTCGTCGTCGTCGTCGTCGTCCAAGTCATCGTCTTCCCGCCCAGCCAGTCCTCTGCTGTTCTCCCTTAGCCGCCTCTGGCCCAGCGGGGGAAGGCGACGCACCACCACCACCACCACCACCACCACCACTACCAGAGGGGGGGCCATCTCTCCAGCGAGAAGAGGTCCACGACGCCTGTCCGAGCTGGAGATCGGGGGTGTCTCGGGCGAGAGGGGAGGGCCACTTCACTACAGGGCCGTTTTTAATACATGCTCCGCGTGCGGATCATGTATTAAACATGCAGGGAGGTAGCATTAAAAACAACGACTAGTTCATGCACATTTTTTTTCATATATCAAACATGTATCAAACATCTCATATTTTTTAAACATCCTATGTATAAAAAACGGCCCTGTAGGGGCACCCCCCCTGGCTCCTCTTGCTGGTGGTGGTGGTGGTGGTGGTGGTGTCGCTCCTCCTTGTTCCTCCTGGCGACCTTCTTGCACTGCCCTCCGGAGGCACGATGGGCCTTTGTGCGCGGGAGGGCGGCACAGATGGAGCCTGCTCCTATCCCTCCTCCCCTCCCTTCTCGCGGCCCGACCCGTCCCCCCCCTCCACCTTCCTCGTGTGTGTGCCGGATCTCAGCTGCTTTGTTTGGCTGGTGACCCCTCTCGGACTCTAGATCGACTTCTCAGCCAGACAAGACGGATGTATCCTTACGCGCGTGCCGTGCAGCGCTCGAGCAATGCAGCAGAGGTCAAATTTCTCCTCTTGCCTTGCGGCAAGAGAAGCCCTTGACATGGATATCTTCGGGCGGGGGGGGACGACGAAGGTCGGTTCTCCAGGCAGTTGGTGTGTAGAAATTTAGGTCTCGTATCGATCCTCGAACTTCAGTCCTCGAAACTCGGCCCTGGATTCAAGTCTCGGCCTTCGACCCTCGATCCTTGATACTCGACTCTCGACCCTCAACCCTCGACCCTGGATCCTCGATGCGAGGCTCGACTCCTCGATCCTCGATGCTTCGAGTCTTGCTGCCCGACTCCTCGATCCCCCGATCCCTCGATTTCAGGCCTCCTACATATGGGGTCGGAGTAGATGGGGTCGGAGGATCGCGCCGCATCGCCGATGCATCGGCGATGCATCGGCGATGCGGCTCGATGTGGACCCGACTTTCCTCACGCTGGCGTCGCCGATGCATCGCCGCTGTCGCCGATACGTCGCCGATGCATCGGCGATGGATCGCCGATGTATCGGCGATGCGTCGCGATCCTCCGACCCCATCTGCTCCGACCCTATCTGGAAGGCCTCTATCGATCCCGCGATCCCTCCTCCTCCTCCTCCTCCTCCTCCTCCTCCTCCTCCTCCTCCTCCTCCTCCTCCTCCTCCTCCATCCCTCAATCCCTCGACACTCGGGCGGCCCGCCGCCGCAGGCGCAGCGGCGGCGGCACAGGGAGGAGCTCGAGGCCCACCTCCGCGCGCGCGCGCCCGCCCGTCCGCTCGGGCCCCGGGCCGGAGTTTTGGGCGTTCTTGCTGCTGGAGCTCCTCCTCCTCCTCCTCGCCGTCCTCCTTCTCCTCCTCCTTCTGCTCCTCCTCCTTCTCCTCGTCGTCGTCCTCCTCCTCCTCCTCCTCCTCGCCGTCCCCCTCATCCTTCCGAGTGGGAGGAGATGGTTGCTGTGTGGTTGAGTTCAGGGGGTGCCGCTTCACGTGTGCGGTCAGCGGGCTGTCGAGCAGCCCATGTGTCTGGGCTGAGGGTTGCCATCGTGGCCACGCCCCCCTGGCGGAGCTCAGCAGACTGAGTCACTCGGTCCACTACTGACCGACCGACCGACACACCTCCTCCTCCTCCTCTTCCTCCTCCATTCCTTTTCATTATAAGTAATTTCTCCCTGTCGCACCCCGAGGACAGTTTTTAGGGCGGTCCGGGCGTTCGGCCTGAGACTTCCTGACCGTTTATGATTCTGAAGCTCAAAGATTTGCAACAGTTTCACATGTGGAGGGCGGATTGTTTTCAACATGTGGCTTTCGCCTTAGCGCGGCGCACATTCGTTTTAAACAATGACGGCGGGGGGTTTTCAAAATGTGGTTCCCGCCTTAGCGCGGCGCACATTCGTTTTTGCGGTTCGTTTTCAAAATGTGGCTATCGCTTTAGTGCGGTGCACATTCGTTTTAAGCATTCGCAAGGGTTTCACGGATTGAGAGCGATTCCTTTTCAACATGTGGCTCTCGCCTTAGTAGCCGCGCATTTGCAAGAGTTTCACGGATTCCCATCATCAGCGTACCAAGAGTTTTGTTTTGAAAGGATTCAGGATTATGCGGGAGCAACAGTTACGTTGATTCGCTGTGTTGAAGTTCCAGGAATGGCGTTCTGGCACGGTTCATGATCTCAAGATGCAACGGTCAGGTTCATCCGTGGCGTTGGATTCTCAAGAACATTATTTTGGCATGCTTCAGGGTCTTCAAACGGTTGTCTTCGAACGAGGCAGTTCCCTCAATGGAAATGAACCGTTGTATGGACCTATGAAGAGTGAACTTGGAAGGAGGGTTTATTCCAGCATCGTTGATGACTCTTGGGTTTACACTGGTCCTTCTCCTCCTACTCCTTCTCCTCTTCCTCCTCAGCTGCCGTGGCCAAGGGCACACGCTCTGGCCCCCCAGCTTACAGAGTGCTCCTACGCCTCCCCCCGGCGCATCCTGCCTTCTCCCTATGGTCGTTGCTGCGCGTCTGAGCCGGATTTGGCGGCGGGCAGCTGGTCTCTCGGCGAACGGTTACGATAAGCTCTAAGCGATCGTTCATTATGGTGCTCCCTGTTGGCCCACGAGTGGAGGGAGGAGGATGCGGGAGGAGGGGGGAGGGAGGGGTCCGTAGCTATTTTGGCTCGAGTCCGTAGCGGTTTGCTCGAGGACGAGAGTTTTTGGCAAGGGGATCCGCGGCCCCACCTGCTTTCGCAACCCCGCGGTGAACGCCCTCTGCACCACAGTCGGTAACCTACGGCTCTCTTTGAGCCTCGCCGTGCTGCCTGGGCCAATGGGCCCCTGCGCGCTCAGCCTCAGTCTGGTGGCAACGCTAAGTCTGTGCAGATCTCGGAGGAGATGGTTGCCGTCTACGCTCGCATGCCTGAAGACGACTTCGCCCCGCCGTCCTCTCCAGCGGCTGGCCTAGCAAGACCATCGCGAGAGTCGTCAGCAAGCGGGCCCTGGACTCAGGCGCTCCTGAACCCGTTGCCCGCGCTGCTCGACAGACCACTGACTCGCTCCGCCAGCAAGCCAATCAGGCTCAGATCAAGTATGATAGGGCCAGGGCCAACGCTGTGCAGGCTATGGCTCATATGGCCGAGTGTCAGAACAACCTCAACCGTCTCAAGAAGGAAGTCGAGGCCGCCGCCGCCAAGGCGGCCGAGGCGTACAGCGCCATGGCGGCTCAGGGGCAGCCGCTTTGGGCCGCTGCGGCGCTTCAGCAGATGCAGGGGCTCTTGGGCGCGCTTCGCCAGGCGGCGCCCGAGGAGGCAGGCCAGCTCGAGCAGCTCGTCGCCTCCGCCACACAGCGCGTCGGCCCCCTGCAGCAGGCCGCCGCCGAGCCCGCCGCGGGCGCCGCGGGCGCGGGCGGCGGCGCTACTGATGCTGCTCCCGCTGCTGGTGCTGTTGGCGGCGGCGCTGGCGGGGCCGCGCTCCCAGGCAGCTCTGGTGTGCCTGCCGCGGCCCCAGGAGCTCCCGACTGGGAGGCCATCGCCGACCCAGACGGGGCCTGCTACAAGGAGTTCGTGGCGGCATCCGACATGGCTGTCGACGGCGAGGACGAGGTTGGCGTCGGGGAGCGTCTGGGCCAGCGCCAGAAGCTTTCGCGCTCCCTCTTCACGGACCCCATGAGCTCCATGCAGGAACACCACGCCAAGCGTGCTCGCACCACACCGTCGGTTTAGCCATGGCACCTCGTTCGTCACCGCATATGTCACGGGCCGCGTCGGGCTCGAGCGTCTGTTGGGGTCACAGCAGGTGCTCGAGATTGCTGCAGTGGCAGTTCAGGAGCATCATCTCGCCGAGGTTCAGGCATGGGGGGCTCACTTTCGACAGCTGGGGTGGCCCGCCAAAGGTCTGGCGGCGCGTGTGAACCCAGCTGGTGGCACCACAGGCGGCCTCTTCCAGATGGTGCCGCGCAGGATTGGCATGACAGAGCTTCCTGATCAAAGTTTCTGCATCGCCGACGCTAGGGTCAGTCTTCTTCACCTCTCAGTGCTTCGTCCTGGTGGTGTGTTGTGGGCGAATGTGTACTTGCGTGATTCACAAGGGCCCTCACCGCAGACTTGGCAGCTGCTCAGTGCTCTAGGCGGCACTTTTTGCTGGTACAGGCTGCCGTTTGTCATCGCAGGCGGCGCCGAGCGTGGCCACATGCTCCCAGGGCGTCGGTCGCGCGCTCGGCCGGTTCGCTGTCTCACACGGGCTCCATTGCGGCGCTGAGCTGCAGGTTCTCATGGCGGTTGGCACCGAGGACCACGAGCCTGTCGTGGTCTCCCATCGCGAGCATCGTCTCGCTACCTCACGTTCGGGTGCCGCGTATATTTCCTCGCCAGAGGCGGCCTGGGTGCTACCTTCCTTTAGATCGGTGGTCCGTGGTCCAACGCCTGCTGGGCAGCGCCCTCGACGTGGGCGAGGCCTGGCGCGGCTTTGTCACCGTCATGGAGCAAGAGTTCCTCGAGATCTACCAGATTCCCGACTACGAGCGCGGCGTGTGCGTAGTCCGTGCACGCCCGCTGCGGCGCAGGAGGCGTGGTGCGCCGCGCCCTCGCAGCCCGCGCTGCCCTCGCACCTCCAGCGTGGCCATCTGGTTCCGTGCTCTCAGCCAGACCTTGCTCGAGCTATCCAGGCCTCAGGGTCCCGCGGATCGGGGCTCAAGTCTCGGTGCAAGTCGGCGGCTGCTTCGTTCCTCGGGCTCTCTTCCCGCGGCCCTCGCGGGGCCTTGGCGTGTCTTTTTCGAGGCGGCTGCCGACCTGGACTGGGGGCCTTGCCGGGTTTCTATTCACGGAGGCGCAGACCTCCGCTGCAGCGCGCCAGAAGAATGCTGAGAGGCATCGAGATCGCGAGTGGCATGAATGGGTCCAGCAGCGCAGCAATGCGGGTGGAAGGGGCTTTGCATGCCATCTCCAAGCCTGTCGTTCCCTGGCACTCCAGCCCTGCTTTTGCCAGCGACGGAGCTGCGCGGGCGGCGCCCGCCTCGCGAGAGCAGGACGTGCAGTTGCTGGGGGAGGGGTGGTGTCGCTACTGGCGGGTGGGGGAGTTGGGGGGCTCCATCTGCTGGCCTGATGATGTGGGCCCGCCGCTCCCCGATTTCAGCCTCGAAGATTTGCGTGAATGTACCCGTTCCTTTAAGCCTGCCAGCGGCACGGCTTGTGATCAGGTTAGTCCTCGTCCGCTCGACGAGCTCGGCGACGTGGGTTTTGAATGCTTTCGTCAACTGCTGCTGCTCATTGAGCGTGCCTTTTCGTGGCCAGATGCCTGGTCGAAGATAGTGTTTTGATGAAATGCATTGGAGGCCTTCGCTTCGGCCCATTGCGTTGCTCCGCGTTTGCGCGTGCGTCCTGGGACGCGTCAGACGGCCTCTGCTCACGCGGTGGCAGCAAGAGAACTTTCGGGAGCTTTGGTGGTCGACCTCGGGGCGTGGTTCGGAGCGTTTGGATTGGGTCCAGGCTGCCACCGCTGGGTGGGCCGCGTCCAAGAATCTCACCGCCGGGGCGGTCCTTTCAGACTTGCATAAGGCCTTCGAGAATATTCGGCACGGCGTTCTGGTTGAAGCTACGGCTGCTGGTCGCCTTGTATCGCTCGCCACGTGTGCTCGAATTCGCCGGGGTCAGTTCGCAGCCCGTCCTCGCGCAGCAAGCCGTGCTAGCAGACTGCCAGTTTGCAACCCTCTGCCTGGAGATGGTTGTCCTCGGCCCGTTAGACTGCGCGCGGGCTGCCTTCCCCAGGCAGACCGCGCAAGAGGTGCAGTTAGGTGCCGTCGTCGGCGATTTTGGGCTCCACAAGGTGGGCTCAGAGCGGCGAGCCCACCAGGGTCTCGCTGCCGCCGCCGTCATGCTGCACGACGAGCTGCGCGAAGTTCACCTGCCAGTCAGCGCCTGCAAAAGCCGCGTTCTTTCGTCCACCCCTTCCCTCAGATCTAGGCTCGCAGCCGCCCTCCTCTCGTCGGGTTTTGGCCGTCCAGTCGGAGAGGAACCTTGGGGTGGCCTACGCCGCTGGAGGGGTAATTCGTCGGACCACCGAGCGCAGCAGACGCCGAGACGCCGCCGTTCGCCGTCGCTAGCTGATCAGGCTCTCTGGACATGTCAAACGTCGCAGATTGCACGACATGGTCCGCGCGGCCGCCCACCTCTTATGAGTCGGGGGTGACGGGGGCGTCCGAGACCGAGTTGCGCGAGGCGCCTTTCTTGCAGGCCGGTGTGCAGTCTCGGAAGCTATCTGGCCGCGGTGTTACTTTGCTTTTGCGCATGTCAGGCAAGAAAAATACGGATCCTGCCTACGCTCTCCTTGCTGCCCCTCTCCTGCACCTCGCCTCCGCTGCCTGGGAGTCTTGGGTGCCGCGCGGGGTCATTGCTGGCCTGGAGGGAGCCGATCAGGCGCTTCAGGACTCTCAGTCTCCTTGGAAGTCCATTCGAGGCCCTTTCACCAGTTGCGTCGAGTCGGCGCGCAGGCTCGGCATCGGCATCCGAGGCCTCTCGTGGCAGCGCCCGATTGTTGGGGACTTCTCGCCTGTCGACCTCTGCCCCAGGACAATCGCCCGAGCGCTCGAGCGTATTGTGGAGCCTTGGTGCTGGCAGCGTGTCTCCAAACATTTCCAGCAGCCTGAGTTCGAGAGAGGCCCCGTTCGTGCCCCAGTTCTATCTGGCATGAAACAGCTTGAGGCCCATGAGCAGGGCTATGTCGTGTCCGCCGTCTCTGGTGGTCAGTGGCCTCAAATCTGGCAAGCCGAATCCTTCTCGTGCGAGGCCGAGTGTCTTGTTCGCCGCTCAGCTCCTGGCACGCTGGCGCACAGGCACCCCTCGTGCCCTGGCCACGAGGAGGTGCTTCAGGCTGAGACGCCCGCTGTTGCTGCCGCCTTGGTGCAGAATCTTTCTCACCCCCTCGTCCGCTTGCTCGTGGAGAGGCTGCTGCTGCCGCTGCCTGCCTCTCCTTCCCCGCCCCCTGTCTCTCCAGATGAGGTCTGGCTAAAAAGGGCATCCTGGGTTCCTGGGCGGGGGCCTGTTCCTCGGCGGGGCCTCCTGGGCGGGGGCCTGCCTCCCGAGGCGCGCAGTCTGGGATGGGCCATCGTTGCCCCTCAGGGTGATCGGCCTGCCTCAGCCGCCGTGCTCGCTGGAGGGCTGCCCGCAGGTCTGTGTGACAACGGCGTTGTCGAGCTCTGGACTTTCCTCCGCGCGCTCAGGCTCGCTCTCCCCAGTGCCTCCTTTTGGACGGACTCGCAGCTTGTGTGCGATGGAGTTCACGAGCGAGGTCCCCGCCTGTGTCAAGCTGCGAAGGCCGCCTGGGCAGACCTTTGGACGCTGGTGTGGGCCGCCATCGAGGATCGTGGGGAGGTTGAGTTTCTTCGGTTGCACAAAGTCAAGGCCCGCATCGCTGCCGCCGACATTGATCTAGGGCGCATCACTCTTCGGCAGCGTGAGGGCAAACGGTTGGCTGACAAGACGGCCAAATAAGCCGCCACCTTCACTCGTGTTTCCGAGCGTTACCGTTCTTCGTACCGCTCGCAGGCTAAGGTGTTTTCGTTTCTCGCCACCTGGGTCGGGCGCATCGGTTGCAAGATGGCCGATGTTGATTGCATGCATGCCCCCACGACTCGTGCCAAGACGTCGTCTGGCGTGCCGTTTTTGCAGGTTATCCGTCCTCCCCCCGTGACCTCGTCGGCTGAAAGTCGGGTTGATGTTGCGATCGCGGTGCTGCAGAGAGAGGGTCGCGCCACCCATCGTGCCTTTCCCTTTACTCTCGCGGGGGGAAGGCGGGGCGTGGTGTGTGCCCAGTGTGGTGCGGGCGGAGTCAACATCTCTAGGCAGTTCCGAGAGCAGTGCCCGCCGCGGGTGCCCGCCCGCCCCCACCATTTGCGGCAATCGTGTTTTGCGAGGCCTTGACTGGGCAAGTACAAACATGGGACAGAGTGGTTTCTCCTCACCGAACCTTGGTGCCCTGGCGAGTTGGGGAGAAGCGGTCAGGGTTTGGGCCCGCGACCCCCACGTGGAGAGCACCCAGTCGCGGGCCCTCCGACTGGATGTCGCCCCCAATCGGAGTTGACAAAAAGGTCGTCCTGATGGGTGCCTTCCCGTGGTTTTAAGTTTGGTCCCTAGTTTCAACGGCTCTCGTGGGAACTTCGGGAGCGCTTGGTGAGCGCGCAGGAGGGAGGAGGGAGGAGAGAGGCGAGAAGATGGATGATGGAGGGGGAGGAGGAGGGAGAGGAGGAGAGGAGGGGAGGAGGAGAGGAGGAGGAGGAGGAGGACGGAGGAGGAGGAGGAGGAGAGGAGGAGGAGGAGGAGGAGGAGAGGAGGAGGAGGAGGAGGAGGAGGAGAGGAGGAGGGGATGAGGATGAGGATGAGGATGAGGAGGATGATGAGGAGGAGGAGGAGGAGGAGGAGGAGGAGGAGGAGGAGGAGGAGGAGGAGGAGGAGGAGGAGGAGGAGGAGGAGGAGGCGCAGAGGCGGAGTCTGTGGCGAGGGGCCCCCGCCGTCCGTTGCAGCCCAGGCCGGCCAGCGCGACGTGGAGCCGCCGCCCACCCTCCGCCCGCCGCCGCGGCCGCCGCCGCTGGCGTGAACGGGGGCAGCGGCCA